ATAAATATTATTGAAATATTAATTTCTCTTTTCATATTCCATAATTCCTTTTACTATTTATTTTTCGCTTAGTTCAATGAACTTATCAATCATCCATTGGGATTAATTAATAGAAAAATATCCTGAAATATAAATATTGAAATAGAACTATGAAACAAGATTAATAAAAGTGTGCTATTAAAAGATTAAGTGAGTATAGTAGATAAATTTACAAAAATTTACAGTATGCTATAACAATTTTTAGTAAATATATATCAAACACAAACACTCAAATCATATATTTTTTAATCCCACAGTTAATTCAATTGATAGAAAGCAATTGGATATATGGATGCACAGCTCACACAAAAACAAAAACAAAATTGTGAAATATATTGAATTTGTTGCATGTAAATAAACTGATATGAAAATAGCCTACATAAATCTCCAATTACTACAAAAATAAACAGATTCACCGGACGCAACGTATAATCCAGTTTAATAATACAGAAGCCATGGTGAACATGAACTCGATTACAAAAATACGAGGCAGTGCAAAAAAAAAAACGTGTGTTTTTTATATTGGAGCTGGATTTGCTACATGCTGAATTTAATAATTTGCGAAGTAAAGTTTATTATACGGCGGTGGGGGGAAATTTGGCGGCAGTATTAATTGTGAATCAATAAATTAAAACAATTTGTGGCTGCTAAACAAGCACGGCAAAATGAATGCGATATTTTGCTCGATAAACTTTCCAGTTGGAATTAAAATTACCCGATTTTGCAATTTTATAGGACGCGTCCACCGCATTTCCCAAATAATTACTGTTCGCTGCTATACATATATGTACACAAAACGTATGCATTTCGACGTACTTTCCAATTCATTATACAATTTATTTACGTACGATTCGACAGATTACATCTAATCTAAATAGGGAATCGGATCGTTTGTTTGTCTAATTAAAAATATCGTTGATTGAATCATTTGCTACAGATTAGTTTTAGTTTATGGAACTGTTTGTTTTATCAAACAAACTCTATAGAAATGTATGTCTAAATATTGCACATTTATTTATATAGCGGAACCTCGCTTAACGAGCACCTCGCATAACGAGCTTTTTGCTTAACGAGCAAAATAAATTGTAAGAAACATGACTCGCAAAATGGAACGCATTATCGTATATTTCATTAATTTATATAGGGAAAATTGTTTCACTATACGAGTAAAAATCCGGAAATTTTGAAAGGGATTATGATCGTTAAGCGAGGTTTTACTGTGTCTATATTTACATAAATATATAAACATAAAATTATATTAATTAGGGCGGAATGACATACTGCTACTATATTATTGTAGTGATTTGATTATTTTTTTATATTCTACTTTTTTGTCTGCAATTATTTATTTATGATATTATTATAAACTCAAAAACATCAACATTTAAATTAATTAGAAATTGTTATAATAAATTAGCTTTAACAATTTATAAAAGCTATTTTTAATTGATCTATTCTAGAATCATGATGTTATGATAGATCATCAATATTCCTTTTATTGTCGACAAACGGGAAATTTAAATTTAATTTCCCGGATATTCCTTTAGTTCTATTACTTGCAATATTCCTAATATATCAGTTTGTGATTAGACGTAAATGTAATACTTTCAGTCGATTATATTAAGTATACCTAACATTAATGTTATTTCATAAGTAGTTCCAAAATTGATGACTTAAGTCATCATAATAGCGGACTAAGTTAATGAATTGTAAAATATAATGTTTTACCTTTATATTATGTTTCACACTATATGAATGAAGTTCAAATGAATTAAGTTGACTTAGTTTTAATAGAACTTCTCTTACTTTATGTTTGAACATCAATGTAACCATGACGCTCTAGTTAACTTCAAATCATAATTCATTCCAAACACATTTATTTATGTATTTATATAATATAATGTTGCTTTTTGTATGGAAATGCTGGAAATTATCTTTTTGTATGTAATTCCTTTTTTTATGTCGTAATAATTTTATTCACAATATGTTCACCAATGTGAGCTTTCCCGGTGGATAGTTACCATTATGATGATTTTGAATATTAATAATTACTTAAGTCACTAGATTTAGTAGTGGTTTGTAACGCCTTAGCCTGTTTGTGGTTTCACTGTTGTCGAGTAGGCCAAAAGGCAGAACATTAGTATATGACTCCAGTCTATCTTGTTATCTACTACTAAATGTTGGTATTATATCTTCGACCATATCTATATGAAGATCTTCATGTATTTGCTTATTACTTGAAAACCACCATGGAGTCCTAATAATATTTCTTAGGCATTTTGATTGGAACCTTTATATAATTTGTTGATTTATTGGCCGCACCCCACAGTTTATAATTCTATTTTTTTTTTATTATAACTATAATTAGAACTAATCGCATGATATGAATTTGACGAAAATGAAAAAATAATAATTGTGGAGGTCGATAAAAACTAAGGAACATGACAAAAATGGGTGTCTAGAATTAATCATTACTTTCGTATCTTGTACTATTTTATTCAACACATTTTTTCAATAAATAATTTTAATGTTTAAATTAGTTAGATTTATTATTTCACATATTGTAATTTTGTTTTAATTCTAAACATGTCAGTTTTTACTCAACAGATGTTTCTTTTGACACTCGACGCTTCGGAACGCAACCTAAACGTTAAGTGAGGTCTTACTATAGCACAAATAAATTGAGGTAAATGGTCAATTTTTATGTCGACAATCTAATATTTTTTAATTTTATTTTTCTATCTTAATAGAATTTTAACAAACAAATATATTTTTTTTAACGTTGTAGCAGTTAGAATCATTCTAACAAACAAGTTTAATAAAGAAAAGCGAACGCCGCAATTTACAATTCAAGTTAGCGAGAAATATTGTTGCTCAAGACTTTTGGCACCGATGTAATTTATTGTAAGGATTCGGCTCTCCCGTGTTCAAGTTCAATTCGGTTTGTGCGGCTTCTTTGTGTCTGGACGGGTGAATTGTGTGTGTGCGAGCGAACGACGGCAGCTTCAGCAGCGGCGATGGCCCCTTTTTCTTGTTATCAGAATTTCTGGCCCAGAAAATATCACCTGAACTTAATTTCGGCGACCGTTTTATTTCGTAATACCCGCGGCTTTACATAAAGAATGTTTGCATAATACAGATGCTGATGTAGCACCCACTTATCTTCTGCATAGTGTATAAGGTGGAATGTTTTTATCAAAAACTTGTTGACCTATTTCATGGAGGAGATTTCAAGTTGAGAAAATTCATTACCACTATTTCTTGCTTCCATATATATTCATGCAAAAGCAACGGTAATATGAAAAAATAAGCATTCTATCTTCACCTATGTGATTGCAACCTTCGTATTCTAAATTTTGGTCAACTTTTGTTGATTTATTTTTAATTTTCAAACCATATAACATAAAATATAATAATTATTATTTCAATAATTCGAATCTCACAAACAATTAAACATGAGCAAAATCAATAAAATACCCTTGTTTTCTTCTCTGTTAAAATTATACAATTGATAAATATAAACATTTCAATAAATTACCCAAATAATAATTATACATTTTTATTTGAATGGAGAACATATATGGGATATTTACAATACATGAGCATAAAACTACATAGGTTTGAAGAGGAATACGAATTAAGGAACATCGCATAAAAAATAAGAACGGTTAATACAAAGCAAGAGAAAATTGCGTTGCTAGTTTGTCAGGTTAAAAGAAATTATTATTTTTTAATCTTTTATGTCTAATAATAGAATAAAAAAACACATACAAATGTTAATACAAAATTGATATTAAAATAAAACAAATCATAGAAAATAAATAATAATATTTATTGCGACAGTCATACATAAATAAATAAAAATTAACACGTATTTATAACTAAAAAAAACAAGACTAGCGATCGCCAACATTTTTGACCTCACGGATCACTAAATTCAAAATATTGAATCTCGCAGGTAACTAAACTAAATAATGAATTCCGCGTACCACTACCATGATTTTATTTCCAAAAAAATAACATCCTAAATATGATATGGTATAACAATCTTTGGACCACCAAAATTTACTCGCGGGCCACCAGTTGGCGATCGTTGCTGTAAACCAGTGATTCTGAAACGTATATGGCCTTTCAAAAAATATTACGCAGCACCTCCCTGGAAATATTTATATATATATATATATATTAATGTTTCTACCGCCCCCTGGATCACTGCAGCGTAGACTGCATTGCAAAAAAATAATGACAGACCAATTCTGGTTGTTTTTCTACATATACCCATTCTTCGGGGGGATCGCAGAAATTTTTTGTAACCAATTTTAGGATTTACAAAGTGTTCCGTTGCAGGAAAAGTTTGTTGACTGTTGACTGCTTTAGAACATAATCAATAATAAAAAAAATACATTTAAAAAATATACATTAAATTGATAATTCTTTCCACACCAAAAAATAAGTGAATATTGTTATATTAAAAGACTTAACATAAGGCAATAGGGAGTACCACTTACTTTATACACACGACATTGGCATAATAATCAATGATATAGTTAGTATATCTGAATATTTTGAATGTTTCATAGTATGTATTTTGTGGATGATATTTATATGTAATATAATTGAAGGTTAATAATAGCAAAGTATTGAGACGGGAAAAACTAGTTATTATAGAAAAACGCAATCGAATGAGGGTAATCTAATGCATATGATTAGTTGTAATCAGATTGTGCATCAGAACTAATAGAATGTTGTTTTGTAAACGAAGTGCTGCGCAATAATATGATTTGATGAAATTAGGTTAGCTGAAATGCGGGGTTGGTAATTCACGTTTTACGTCCTGTTCCCGAATGGAATAATCCCGAACGGAATAATAAAAATTCTATGATAATTATGGAAACAGCATCGTGCGAATTGATTCCGTTCGGGATGCGTGCATTAGTATTAGTATAGTAGTAGTTAGTTACCTTCGTATAGACATCCTAAGAGCTCGAGCCTGAGACAGACAGTCCTCCTGTGAACGCTGTAGGGCAGAACTCTGACTTTGGTCGCAAATACCGGAGGCATTAGACGATGACTCTCGACTGAAGCCGTGTCACTATTTCCACGTAGTATCTGAAACAATTCAGCATATTATAGTCGAAGTGTCAGTGATGGCACGAGGGCGTGTGACGGGTGTTCTTCGGGCATTGTTCGGGACCACTAGTGTGGCGATTTTCCCTTCAGAACGAACGATACCTCTACCATTGTCTGTGGCCCCTCCGTGGCCGTGTGCACGCAGTTAGCATAACAACCCTTCCTTGGAGCTGTATGGAATACACAGTAATGGGATGAGTCGTAAGCGCTTTACGGTCACAGTTTCAACCTAAATCGGAGGACCCATTGTTAACGGCATAAGCCAATTTTGTTAAAATGCTAACGTTTCTATAAAACCCCACAATAAACCTTTATAAAATCCTCGTATAATATCCAGCCACCACTAAAGTTGTTTTATTACACTACTTTACTTATTATCATACGACTCTCTGACTACCCATTAAAATCAATTTGTACTACATTTACTGTTTCTGTTCAAATTAATTGAACTATATTATTTTTTATTGCTTATGTAAAATAACATTCACAATCTAAACGAATACTACAATCTTAGTTATAACTCCAATCAATTTAATGGATTTTAAAAATTGATAATAATTTATTGCATGCATAAATCAAATAATATAATAATAATTATTGAATAATATTTAATTATTCCATAAGTATAAATTAATTGTTTTTCTTTCTTCTGATATCTCATTGTATTTATTTATAACATGTAAATAGTACGTATAGTGCAGCTTCTATCTGCCCGGATTCACTATAGTCCGGTTTGAAAATATTGAAACAAACTAAATTTTAATTGATATAGATATATTTATACAGATTTAACGACAATAAATATTCGTTTCCATCATAATTAAATGAAACAAATAAAAAACATAGTTATATAGTAATAATGAAACAAAAAATATCACTGTTATAAAGGGCTATTGACCATTAAGAAAAAGAATATGATAAATATATATACTATATATCAACACATTATTTTTTTTTCTTAGGCTATAGATACCTTCAAAGAAGATTGTTAAGACAGGATCCAGAGAGGTTTGAAGTGTCAGTTATGCTAATGTTTCCTTATTCGAGGCATTTACGCGTGTAAGGGGAAAAGTGTCTATATCGCACGTTTACATTCAAAACATGTATATTTTTTTAGAGGTAGGGTATTTTCACCGCATATCAAATGTATTTAACTGCAAATAATTCTAAACTCCAAAGGACTGCACAAATGATAGAACCTATTTTCGCACATATATTTTTTATATAATTGAATTAATAAAAATAATACTACAGAAAATATAGATTAAAGCATATATTTCTTTTAAGGTTTCTGCCCTTTCTGACCTATGGTAAATAGTTTTTTGCTGCAGATGAATTTTATTTAGTTTTTTTTTTAATTTTGTAATTTATTGTTGCAATAAATATTATTATTACTTTTAAATTAAATTTTATATAAATTATAATAAAATAAAAAATGATTCATTGTTACAAGAAGCTATTGGAAAATGATGGTATGTATAAACCACATATATAAAGAAATTTTTTTCCCGCAATATTTTACAAAAAAGAACAGTATCATATTATAATTTATTTAATATATATTCTTATAATTTGTTATATATAAGGAGCATATATACATTTGATTTATTGAAGTGCTTTTAGTGGATTCTCACGTTCATGGAAATTTATTAATATTTTCGTATTTTGTATCTATTTTTTAATCATAATTTGTTTAAAGTTCATATAGTTTTCAGGTGAATGTAATAACGTGAATTATTTTAGTTAACGTTAAAATAATTATCAATATTTGATAAAGTATGTTTGTTATCTTAAAAATATATACAATAAAACAAAAATGTTGAGAAACGTAAACCTTTTCCATTGTAAAGAACTAAATTGAAAATCACTGAAAACATCAAATCTATATAGAAGATATTTCGCGTATCCGCAACGGCGTAATGTCTGTTTTATTTTATTTTTTCGTGTCTTCCATTTATATCATTTCTGTTCTTTATGTTTGGCAAAAATGTGTAAGAAAAGGTTCACTGGAAGAGATACGTGAACCAAGTGTGATGGGGGACATTTACCGCAAACTGACTCTAAATTGACTCGTAACGATCAGAGTACGAATGGTGTGCAATTTAAAGGAGAGCCCCAAGACCGGGACCAAGTCAGATTGATACACGCGATATCCCTATTTCTTTCCACAACAAATATAGAGATATACATCCCCTAGAGAACACTTTTCGAATAAAATTTTTATCATGATTTATACGTTTGCAATACTTATAAAAGATCTAGAATAAATAAAAGACAATACAAAATCTATTTTTAATAAATTTGAATTACTTGTTTAGTTTTAGTTACAATTTTTTTGCGTGATACATCTACAAATTATTTGATAATTTACAAGTAACTTGCTAAGTAAATTGTACGGTGAGAAAACACATCCTGTACATAAAATTCTTAACACGTTAGTTGACATGTAATGTGTACACTATACTTCTATGCGTAATAAATGTACTATTTTCAATATATTAAGTAATAAGTACATCATTATCTCGCATAGTGAGGGTAATAGGTTCCGCTAATATCCCGGACTATTTGAAATCGCACTAATCGACCGCATAAAAAGAAACTTTACAGTATAGAGAAAAAATAAACAAAAGTTTGTTTTTATTTTGTATATTAAATTAATAAAATAAAAAAATAGTTTGAAAATTTAATTGACTATAAATAATAGAATAATATAGAGTGGAACCTCGATTAACGTGTACGCATAACGAGCATTTTGAATATCGAATACAAAGAAAAATGACTCGTTTAACGAGTGACAATGAGAAGAGAAGTTTCCGATTTCGCATCTGCTACATCATTTTTAAACTTGTGTACACATATTATGTATATTTTTGAATATGTTTCATTATACTAGTAAAAATCCGGAAATTTTTGAACTCGTTAAACGATGTTCCACTGCATTTGTAGGAATGTCGGTATGCAAATGGACTGAAATAAATATTTTATTAATAAACTGTATGTGCATTACTTTGTCTTGATGTCTAATTCATAAACAAATTCTATGAACTTGTACGTGTCTTTGTCACATACTTATATTTATAGTATTTTTATTGTAATTTAAATAATGATGAGTTTCAATCAAATAGTTTAAGCTTTATCAGATTTTATTTTATTTATATTTGATTATTAATATGAAAATATAATTTGTATATTAAAATAAAATGAAACATAAATTTTGGTTTAAAAATCGGAGCAAAAAGTTAATTAAATGTAAATAATGTAGTAAAATATTTATTGCTTTTCACGATTCGAATATTGATGAGCAATTCAATGTAAATTGAATTTAAATTTGTTAATTTGAAAAAGGTGAGGGTTTTTCCTGCAGAAGATATATCAAAGTAAAAGTCTGACTTCGTAAAAAATCAATTGCATTTAGCATGTATAGTCTTCACGATAAGATTGTGGTTTTGAAATTCATGAATTCCTGTTTGAATTTCTCGGTCGGGTAGTTTTTCTCTCTCTATCTTCTTTCCCCTACAGCCTACTCCTCCACATTCTATCGCTCTTTCTTTTTAATTAATTATATCTTAAGTGTGTTTAAAGAGCAAACACAATTATAATGATAATTACTTATTATTATGCGGAGACGTCTCAAAGGGAACATAACGGAGGCAAACGTCTGTCTGTATAGATAATGCAGATGACTGGTTTAGATGCCTTTAAAACAAAAAGAACAGCCCGGCGCGTCCACAAAAGTAAGCGTTCAGCCCTCCGACTCTCTCTCTCTTTCCATCATCATACCCTATCTCTATCCATACTCCTTCTCTCCCATATTGTATTTGCTGACAATCTCTGATGAGATTAAAGATCTGCATCTAGATGTGGTTTAACGGGTCTCCTTTGTTCCTCACAAATACCGCAATCGTTTTTGACTCTTCCACCGAAAACCATTATGCTCCTTTACTTATCAAATAGCCCACTTTAACCGCGATATGGAAAATGGAGAGAGCGAGAAAAAAGGACGGACTCGAATGTTAATGAAAATAATATTACCATCGAATAGTTTCCTTGATTTAGGAAATCTTTTCGGAAAGTATTAAATTTAATGAAAAACGCTTTACGGTTATTACGCTCCGTGCGTTTAGTTCCGTTCCTTTTTAATAGTAATTGGAAATTCTAATCGCTCCGGCCGAATTAATTAGTTTACCACGTTCGGGGCCAAATGTGCTCCCATTGTAAATATTTGCGATTACTGCTTGAAATGACATTTCGCTTCATGTTTATTATGGACCGTTTTAAATTGCTATGTTTTTAATGAATATTATATTTTAATTTCATTATAATTATGAATGAACCTTTTAAATATTAAATTTTTAATGCAATTAAATAGAAACAACTTTTGACTCTGACTATACTTAAATATTGATAAGTATCAATTTTTATATTATTTTACTATAAAGTTTTTTACTCAACAAAGGCTATTGATATAGAGAAGTAAACTAACAAAAACAAAACATCAAAACCATCATAGTTCAAGCTGTCAGTATGTTTTCATAAACATTGAGTGCAGAAAACCTAGGTTCTCACTCTTGAATAACAATACCAGTAAATTATAACAAGATTAGAAGGCGTTCTAAAAGCGCTGTAATATTTGTTTCTTTATATAATACTTTAATAGGAGGATGATGCAGTGGATTATCGGGGTGTTAAAATTTGGTGATATTTATTTAGTATAGGTCTACGACAAATAGAATACAAAATTGAAGCGTAGGCAGTTATTAATAAATTGAAAAAAAAATAAGTTTTCAAAATCATGTTAAAAATGTTAAAATACGTTATTTTTAATATTATTCAAGATTCGTTATAAATAAATTAAGAACGTGCATTATATATCTGACATTTGTTAATATTGAAATTCAATAAGTGAAAAAAAAATAGTTTATTAAAAACCAAATCAGAATTTCTTCAATTCATTTAAAAAAAGTTTGATTAGAAGATTTACAATAATGTCGAAATAGAAATTATATGTTTCAAGAATGTAATTATTAATATTTTATGTTTTCAAACAAACTTAATTATATTTTTTATATTTCACGATTTGAATAATGATGAGAAAATCGTATTAAAATTTTTCTTATGGTCCAAAAAATAAGTAGTTTAAATCGTCTAACATGTCTAAAAGAATTTAATAATAAATAAATTTACAAAAAAATTGGATTAGTGCCATTTTAATATTAAGAAATTGTAAACTAAATTCAAGAATTTCATTATTATTATTTTGTTAAAATTTGTAACCAACTTATATTTTATGTTTATTTAATTTTCATCAAAGGTAATTCTTGTTCTCAACTTTCTTTAAGTCAATGTGAACATGCAAGAAGTTCTTGAATCAATCAAATATTTCGTAGTGTACTTAGAAAAATATTAAAGAGAAACTAAAAATTCTATTTTTACATTATTTTTAGAATACGCAAAAACATTAATAAATTTATATTAATATTTTTTTAAATTTATATAATAAAAAAATTGAAGGAATTACGGTCACTAGCCATTTGCATCAGTTAAATTTTATTTTTATTATCGTATTGATTTAAAACAAATAATTTAACAATTAAACTTGTGAAAAATTATATAAAATATTATTATTTTTGTGATAAAAGACTGCGACCCTTTGTATTTTATTGTACAATAAATTTTGTATATTATTATTATTATTATGATTTTCGATTGATCTAAATTTGATTTCAGTATTCGAATATTGCTGTTATTATATCGCGTAACAAAAATTATTAACGGAGATTCGTGTATGCAAAGTAATATCCGAATGTTTCCTTGTAGGCATTTAAAATGCAATTCGGAGATTAGTAGTTTGCAGCGATAGCTGCTTGCGTTGGAATCGAGGAAGAGGAAAGGATAAAAAATGAAGAAAATAGTATAAAAAAGAATCATGAAGCACGTCTTACTTGCTTTCCATCCCATCTCTGGTATTGTTTCCAGTCTGTCATTCCCGGTCTCCAATATTCGACGGTGTATTCTTCGGCGTATTCCTGGCCGCGTCCCCTATCATATCTGCCTTGTGTTTGCACTCCAGTAATCACGTGAACATCTTCCAAATCAACCTGGATATATTCACGAATGCCTTGTTCCACTTGCTGTTTGGGACACCAGCCACCTCCAGCTTTCTCAATCCTTAATCTGAAAAAAGAATAAAACAAAACAAATATGCAGTGCTACATTCAATCAACATTATTCAAATACAACAAAATGTTCAAATTCAATGCAATTTTCGTACACAAATCTAAATTTCACATTTTCACAATCTACTTTTTTTCTGATTCATCAAATCAAAATACTTAAATATTTATATATTTATAAATCTTTCGCGGCATATTCTTTGTCAAACAGCATTCTAGTCATTCGTCAGTAATTTTTAGAAAAGTGATTTAACATAAAATTAAGTGTTGTAAGTTTTAATTAATTTGTCGTAATTAAAGATAAATATAAATATAAAAGTGGTTGCTTTAATAGTCGTAGCTCAACTAATTTTGCTATAATTAAGTAATGTAAAATTTTGTTGTGAAATGAAATTTTCTAAAATGTAGACTGCAGATATTCTAATAATTATAATTTGAATGCAATTTTACTTCAATTTGAATTTTGAATAAAGTATTTTTTTTTACTTTATAATAAAATGACACCTCAAATTGTATGTAGTATAAGTGATAAAAAATTGAATCTATGCGCAATTATTATTTATTTTTGTGGAAAAAATTCGTAAGAAATAATTTTCCTAATGTTTTCAACATTGATTTAATTCTTAATAGAACAACTGCCTTACAAAAGAAAATCATATTTTATGTATTAATTTATATTTATTTATAGCAGAAACAAATTTATAAATACTATAGAGTACAAATACAAGCAATTGTAAAAGATGATCACAATATTTCTATTTCTTGTTTTATGATTGCAGATACGTTTGTAATTCCTTAGCAATTTTCTGAGAGTTTTCACAATGCTCGTTACACTTTATAATTATTGACTATCATAGTAATTAGTACTTTCAAGGTTGGCAAATATATCATTATGATTCAATATGTCGTTGTGAATAACTGTCATGTTTTCCTGTAGCTTATTTTCAAATATCATAAAATGAAACTCATTTACCTCCTTCTGTCTGCTGAGTTCTTCTAATTCTGCTATATAGACGTTCATGTTGTGTTTGAAAAAGTGGTAAGTATAGTTTTGGATCTTGGAGCATTTTTTCTCTATATTATGTGTTTTACTCTTTTTTAACTCTTTTCATATATGCTTCTTACGTTGAAAATGTTGAATTTTGTTTGAAAATTGCACTATAAGATTCAAACGTTGTACTTTTTTGATTAAATAACCTGGTACGTGTCTAGCCTCCATCGTATGTGTTAGTTTTCAGCTTCCTTACACTTCGTTGGAAGAGTTCATAATGACTGAAGTAAGAGTTGATGCCAATATACAGGTAAAACTGTCAGAATCAATTTTATTACGGTTGGGCTCCTAATATCGTTTTATGATAAATTGTAAAATAAAAGTTATACAAAGCAATTACAGGAATTAATTTTTATTTATTTATATTTGTCTGTTATTATTTATTATTGGTATTATTTTAAAATATAATCTTGCTGTTATTGATTTGAAATTCTTAAGAATACAAAATTGTGGGAAAAAGTACGTAAGAAAAACTTTCCCTACGTTTTTAACATTTATTTAAAAAAATTCTTATGAAAAAACATAGAACAACTGTTTACTACAATATAGCGAGCGCAAGTGAAAAGTAAGTGGTGAATTAGTAAAAAAAAATATTTTATATTTAAATTTATATATAATTAAAACAAAAATAAATTAATTAATGTTCATGATACGTGATATAATTACGAAAATAGCATAAAGTACAAATATGTAACAAACAATAAAATCGGCACGATCTTTCCGGACATAATCAGAAAATAAACAATCAACTATTGGTTTGGTTCATAATTATCAGGCGTTTTTTTTGTTAATAAATGTTTTGTTTACATTTATTAATAAATATATTATTTACAAATGGGAAGCAGTAATTGAAGTAAATGGTGACGATGCTCCGCAATAATCATTTATAAGTGTTATTGTAGAATTTCTATGTTTCTTTTTTTCATAAAAAAATATTGTTTAAAAACGCCTAATAATTATGCACCAATTCAATATTTCAAAGGACTATTGACCATATTATTTAGAATATTTCAATAACTTTAATTATTTTTTAATTTAATTTGTGTTTCATTTAGATCAGCAATTGACACAATTTAAAACCAACTAATTCTGCGCCCCACCCCGGAACAATGAACAAATAATTTTGTTTATCGGCTGCCACGAATAACCAATTAAAATTTTGATTATTAATTCAAATACGTAATTCCGAAACATAAATCAGTATTAAACACGTTCACGGGCAACAAATTAAATGTTTATAGATTGGCGGCGGTAACACTTTTAATTGAAAATTATATAATTTATGCATGCCGGATGTTTCACGATTTACTCCGAACTTTTATTGTTTGATTAATTGTTAATTGAACACTGCAATGTACAACAAATATGTAACTATATTATTTTTGTGATTACATCGTAAGGATATTTCAATAAATTGTTTATTTATTGGCGATGTGTAATTTTACGATTTAATTACATTCCGCGATTTTTAATAATTTAAAATTACATCATACAGTTATTTTGAATATGTAAAAGTCAGATATTATAATTACATATTTCTGTTCTCTATAGGCAGGAATTTCCGTTCCGTATTGCAATTAATACACGTTTGTATTTTTCTCCCTTTATTTGTGAGCTGAAAATGAATTGTTGGATATACACAATTTAATTTCTGTCCCGTTGACACCTCTGCAATCGTATACATAATGAAATAAACTTTACAAGATTCGCAGTGCTCAGAAACTAAATAAATTAATTAAACTCAAGCCGGATCCCGGCGCATCCACCTCATTTTCTATGTCGGGGGGAAAAAGTAAAGATTTAATTACTATCGATTCGGGTTCGTGTTAGTTTTAAAATTATTCATAGATTAACTGGAAATTAATCGATGATATAATAGGCATGAGCGCAGATAGTTTACATATAATTTTGATATATTCAATTTGCTTTATACATATTTTAATAGTTCGTGATGGGCTGTGGAGGTTGAACAATTCATTTCACTCCCATTACTCTATAATATTGACATAGCAAATGTATCATGAAAATATATTAATTTTGAATTAATTCTGTTATTTCATAATATTATCGTGGAAAGACCACAGTGTAATTAATATTGTTTGTTATTAATTTGTTGTAAACTATAAAATTATTTAAAAATAAAATTATGGAAAATATATTATAGAGCAATAACTCAATCAAAGAAATAAATACATACAAAAAAATCAACCGCATAAAGGAAAAAAAACTGATCATTTATTTTTTTTAGAATTTATTTTTATTAATTAATTAAAATTTAGTTTGTTTTCTAACCGGAATATAGTGAATCTGCGGAATGTATTATTTCAATACGTTAAAATTAATAGGATAATTTTAAATAAATTATTGAAAATATAATAAGTCTATTTAATAATATTATTAATAAATGAACAAAAAAATGTAATTAAAATTGAAGCACTTTATCTAAAACCGAGATACATAAGGGAATACTATGTAACCAAATACGAATACTCCTGCATATTGAAAAATTGAATTACTTGTCACTGTAGCAAGTAATATTCGTTTTAGTGGAGTTTTATTCCATTACAGTTGCAATAGCTAACTGTAATATAAATCAATCAACATCTGAAACGTCAACTATTATTAGTTTAATATAGTTCAGTAGATATTTTTATTGTTTTATCTTATTTTTTTCTCTAAATAAGTATTTCAGGAAATCTTTGCATGATTAATAACATACGCACTTTGGGAATCAACTTCCTCTAGTTAATATTTAAATACTCACTAAAGAATTCAATATAAAAATATGTTTTTTTTGTAAAAACGTAAAAAAAATATAAGAATTTATTAAATGAAATAAAATATAAATGATTACTTAATTATTAAAATAATATTTCTTTTGTAAATAAAAAAAATATTTCGATCTGTACTTTCATACTAAAATTTGGCTAAAATGACAAATACAATAGTTAATTATCAAGCTTTAGACAAGTGGGCAACGATAAATTTAGTAAACTCTCTTATAATTATAATAATAATAACTTATTGTGGTATAAAACAAAGGTATTTCGACTTAAAATACAATACAAATAAATGCAATATAAAATTAAAAACAAAAATATAAATTTCGAAATGTGTTATTTCATCTATAATATTGCAAGAAAATACAAGTAAATATTCTATTATAGCGCTGAAAGAAGTCGATCGATAACTCTTTGTTTATTGTTTTTTCTATTAATTTCTAATTTGTTTTTATTATTTTCAGGGTTATTAATTATTATTATTTTTATTATTCTATTATATTTTGCATTTTTTGCAAAATTCTTATATAAATATATTATTTTTGCAAGTCTTGCAACCAACTTTTTTGACGCCAAAGCATAAACAAATTAATTTTGTATTTAAGTTTCTCATGTTATGTTATGTTATATTTTTATTCAAAATAAGTGTGCGATTTTAGTTTTTGGATTATTGAAATAATGATATATTTGAATCAGTAGCCATTTATTTAAATTAAGCATGGAAAAATGTGAAGTTTGACATTTTTCAAAATATTTTTGTAACAATTGTTAGTTTTGTTTTTTTACCCGATGACATTTTGTTTAAAGTTAATTATTACGCTCGTCATTACAAGAACCACGCAAAAAGTCTATATTCGAACAATTACAGATAAATGAATTCCCGCGATAAAAGAAAAGTGGTTTATTTGTAGTAGAACCATGTCAATTAAAATTCAGTAAGATAATTGCACATTGTAGTTTTGATGATGAGGAAGTTGTTCGCGCTGGTACTGAAAATGTTTTGTCAACCGCCAAACAACCCCGATTTCAATGTCATCGATTAGGGTTTCTTTAAAGCCATTCAATCATTACAACACATAATGTTTTCATTATATTACAAGAATCCGCACATGAGCAAGGACAACCTGCTTTTGCAAAGAACTTGACCGTTTATACTTACTAATTTGTTAA